GGAGCCGGGCAGCTTCCTGGCTAGGAAAGCCACCGTGAAGCAGGTGGCAGCCAAGAAGCCCAGGGAGCCGAGGGCAACGTAGAACATGGCCACAGACCCTTCGTTGCATTGCAGGATGATCTCTTCCAGCTGGGAGAGCATGTCGGGCTCTGGGAATGGGGGAGAAGAGCCCAGCCAGATGGTGCAGATGAGAACTTGCCCCCCCCCCGCTGAGAGACTTCAGAGAAGTGTGATTAGCCCAAGGTCACCCAGCAGCTGCATGTGGAGGAGAGGGGAAACGAACCCAGTTCACCAGATTACGAGTCCACCGCTCTTAACCACTACACCACACTGGCCTCTCTGACAGGGAAGCTGTATGCCCAGGATCCTTTGGGGGACGTCATGTGCTTTAAATGCTCGCTGGATGCACTTTAAATCAAAGGATCCTAGAACTGTTGATTTGGGAGGAACCCTGAGGATCATCTAGTCCAACCCCCTGCAATGCAGGAATCTCAGCTCAAGAACCCATGGCAGGTGGCCATCTAAGCTCTGCTGAAAAACCTCCAAGGAAGGAGAGTCGACTGCCTTCCGAGGGATTTCCTCCCACTGTCAAGCAGCTCTTGCTGCCAGGAAGTTCTTCCTGGAGTCGGAATCTCCTTTCTGGTCGCTTGAAGCCATGGCTTCAGGTCCTGAGGGCCTCTGGAGCAGGAGAAGACAAGCCTCCTCCCTGGGACGCCCTTGAGATATTGACAGGGCTCTCATATCCATGTCTGGAGGGACAGGGAGCAAAACATCTCCCTCTCCCCTTTCCCCACCCCATGCAGAATGGCAAGGGGTCTGTGCATCCGGCTGGGAAGAAGGTGGTGGGAGTGTGGAGCCCAGCCAGGGGCTGGCTGTGGGCAGGATCCTTGCACTGCCGGGGTTTGGACTAGATGCCCCTTGGCACCCCTTCCAACTCTGCCATGCTCTGATTCTCTCGAGCAGCTGATGGAACGTGCGGGGGAGGAAGATGCAGAAGAAAAGGAGGCACAACCACACCCCCCAACAGCCCCCTCTGGCCTGACCCACGGGGGCCTCATCCCAGCACACATTGACCCCCCCTGGTTTTATTTTTCTTCATTCAGTTGCCGGACAACCCAGCTGATGTCACAAAGTGCTGTTTTGCAAGCAAGCCTTATAATGCCCTGCAGGGGGGATGCCTGTCAGATGACAGTGAGACTTGGTAGAGAAGGATGGATTCTCCAGGTAGGAGGCCTAGAGGAGATGAGTGGCAATAGTATTATTGTGAGGTGATGCTATTACAATTCCAAAGGGAATGTCAAGCAGGGAGGGAGGGGGCAGAGAGAGTGGAGTTCTGGTGGAGACGGAAGAGGGAAGGAGGCTTGGAAAGGGAGCTTGAAGGGGGGCAGGTGAGAGTCGGTTGAGAGCTGTGGGTTCTAGAAGGGGGCACGAGGGGGGGGGGCTGAAGCTGAGCTGGACTTAGAAGCAGCAGCACAGCCGCCATCGCTCTGAGCATGTGGCCGTTCAGTGCTGAGAGAAGGGGCTCTCTCCCAACTTGGCGGCAAGAGGATTCCATTAATTCAGGTGAGCCATGGAGCCAGGGCTTGGCTTGTACAGAAATGGTACCTCAGGTTAAGAACTTTGTTTCAGGATGAGGACAGAAATACAGCAGCTTGTTTTAGGTAAAGTTTTGAAGATACGATCCCACTGATGAGAAAGTCTCCAGGCCTGTAGTAATTGCGAGCATCTGTTTCATCCCTGACCAGATTCAAAGGACACTTTGCCTTCTGGTTCCCACAGACTCCATGGGGCATCATTAAAAGCAGGAGGAGGAGCAGGGGTCTCATTCTGACTCTCCTTCCTACAACTGTATTGTCAGTAGCTCCTCTTACTTCCTAGACCAGGGAAGCAGAAGAAGAGAAAACTCTGGTGAGACCCAAGTGACAGAGACTTTCGTGATCAGGGTGAAGCTCAGATCTGGCTTCAGAAGTATTAAGCACTATATCTCTAAGCTCTAAACCTTGACTCTGTGTGTCTCCGACACAGAAAATATTCTCTGCACCAACTTTCCCCTCTCTTGTCACAGTGCAATTAATATTGTCATGTTGTTGTTGCTTCCGAGGCTTATGCCACCTGCAGAAATATCTCTTGAGCTTTAAAAGAAGAAATCACTATGATTTAGATGATTATACATGGATAACATTTCACCTCTGCAGCTTTTTGGAATCTTGAATGGCTCAAGCATCAGCTGCAGAGCTGGAGATAAACATGCTTGTGTTAAACATCCAGAGTTTGACATAAGTCAATGTGTGAGTTTGGGAGGGGGGAGTTTGGCTTGAATTTTGCTCACAAGAACCAAAGAAGAGCCCTGCAGCAACAAAGGCCCAACTTGTCCATTTCTCCAGCCAAACAGGACAACAAGTGAGTGGGAAAACACAGGTTTATTCAGGCTAGTTTGAATAGTCCAGTGGAGTCATCTCCCAAGGCTGGACAAAGGACACCAGGTGATACCGTCATCTGCTTTCTTGATGTGTCTTCTTCTCCTTCGCCCTCCCCTGCGGTCTCTGCTGTGCCCCTATTGGTAGAAAGGGGTCTTTGTCCTTGCATGGACATGTCCTTATTGCCTTGCTTGTTTTCCAACATTTGCCTTCTCTAAAGCCCCTTCCGCCCTAAAAGGAGGTGGAGTTGTGGGCTTCACGGCCCCACCATGTGCGCGGCGGCTGGAGTGATTGGGGGGATTCCCAGCCGCGTCATCCCCTGGCCAGCCAATTGGCTGGCTCTGGGGGCGTGGTCTGACATACTTAAGGCAGGACGTGGCCGGGGATCACCCTCTTTCCCCGCCTGCCAGCTGTTCCTGTTTCCCACCCTCCCACTCTTTAAGGTTTTCGTTCCTTGGCCTTGCTATGGACCTCAGTTGGTCGCCGTTGAGCGGCCTGGTAGGAATTTTTGCACTTGGCAAATTGGCACCAACCACTTGGTTTTCGCCTACCTCATAGCAAATCGTCACAACTTTCTGGGTATTGGCAGTTAGGCATTCATATAGTTTTGTAGATAGAAGAAGGGAGGTAGCACCATCACCTGCCTGAAGGGTAGTCCGATAAAGGATTCTGGGGGGGGCGTGGCCCTGTCCGAAGCCAATGGAGGTGAGGGCCTAAGGCACGCCCCCAGTGGGTGACCCCGGGGCATTTCCTAGTTGATGTGCATCAGCAGGACTCCCCCTACTGGTGGTTAACCCTTCCCGGACTTCAAGCAGACGGATATAGTCTGTTAGGACCAATGCCTAAGCCAATACCGCTCACCACCTGTAACTAATGAAGCTGTTGCCTTATTTAGCCCATTAACCTTAATAATTGTGTCATGTGTCTTTATTTTCATGGTGGGGGGGGGGACTCGCCACACAACAATTGTCTAAATACAAGCAGACGAAACAGCAAAAGGAAGAATTTCTGTGGTCAACTCGATGGCTAGAGGTGGGTGTCAATCTAAGGTCAAACAAGTTTTGTGATTTAGATGCTACTTGTTGGGGCAAGGGATGTAGGACATAACACTGAATTCAGCTTACGGGATAAATTGTGGAAAACTGATCTGAAATTCATAGCATGTTATACTTTGAAAGAAAATTATGTGAAAATTATTTATAGATGATATCTGGCACTGAATAATTTAGCGAAGATGTGGGGCTACCTTGGAAGGTGACTCGGAAATAACAACTAATCCAGAATGCGGCTGCCAGACTGGAGACTGGGACCATATAACCCCAGTCCTAAAGGATCTTCACTGGCTCCCAGTACATTTCTGAGCTCAATTCAAATTGCTGGTGTTGACCTTTAAACCCCTAAATGCCCTCGGCCCAGTATACCCGAAGGGGCATCTCCACCCCCATTGTCCAGTCTGGACACTGAGGTCCAGCTCCGAGGGCCTTCTGGCAGTTCCCTCACTATGATGTTACAGGCACCTAACCGGAGCAAGACAATGAACAGGCAGGGCGGGTCTCAGATGGAGCTGGTAGACAGCCGCCCTGGAAACAGAATTGGCCTGTGCCTCCATGGACAGCTGTGAGTCCAAAATTACTCCCAAGTACAAACTTGGTCCTTCTCTTGGGCTCAAGGGAGAAACACATTGCTGGTGGGATTTGACTGACAATCATTAACAGACATGCTTTACCACTAGCTGTTCAGTTTAATATTTTTATTTGCCTATCTCACCTTGTTTTCTCCCAATAATGCCAACAGTTACATTTTTAAGGTACAGGGAACCAGGCAGAGGGCCTTCTCAGTGGTGGCTCCGCCCTGTGGAACACCCTCCCACCAGATGTCAAGGAGATAAGCAACCTGATTTTTAAAAGACATCTGAAGGCAGCCCTGTATCGGGAATTTTTTTTAATGTTTGATGTTTTTATATATACTGTAAGTCGCCCAGCGTGGCTGCTGCATATTACAGTCAGATGGGTGGGATATAAATAATAAAAATAATAATAATAATAATAATAATAATAATAATAATAATAATAATAATTCATTTTGCTTTCAAAACACCTTCATAGCAGGGCATAAGTTATTAATCCATAGCTTGCTTGTCCTCACAAATTCCTCAGAGTCACCACACTGCCATGTTCTTGGCCAAAGAGTCAATTGACACAATGTCCAACCAACTCCTTTCCCCAATGACACTTATTCTTTGTGAAATACTCACAATGCAAATGCAATACAAATACTGGCAGAGCGGGGATTTGAAACGGTGTCCTTGGTGACATCTGCACCATACATTTAAAGCACATTTAAAACATGCCGCTTCTCCCAGGGAATCTTGGGAACTATGGATTCCCACCCCACCCCAACCTAAAGAGCCGCAATCCCCAGAACCCTCAACAAACCAGAATTCTCTGGGTGAAGCCATGGGCTTTAGATTTGCACCAAAAGTGCCTTGGATGTGATCCTCACCCAAATCCAAACTAAATGCAACCTTCAGAAAACACAGAATGTGCTGGATTTATGCAAGAACTCACACAAAACAGCCAAGCGCATGCTTAAGTATTTATTAATATCTGAAAATCGAGATGGCACTCTATATTATTTGATTTCAAAGTGCTTTATTTGGTAGCTATGAAATAAGAGGTGAAGCGTCCTGATGATTCGTTGCTCTGAAGTTTGGAAGATTCCAGAAGGAAGGGTTGTGGAGCCTTAGCTGGTCACACGGGGTAACTGGCCACACGTGCCACGCCACACAGATTGACGCCTCTTCGCATCCGCATGTAGCCGTTCTCACCCCAATAAGGTCCCCAGCTATGGAAGCAAGAGAGAGAAGGAGGGGGTCTCTCTAAAATGCTTCAACAGGAAATGACAGGAGAGTCTGGTGAATCAAAGTGGAGTCAGACTCTGGGTGCATGGATCTGTCAGTTTCAGTCCTCTTAGTTCCACATTTTTCCAGTCTTAAATCTAGTTTGCATTTTTTTAAAAAATCACCCCAAAAACTCAGAAGCATGTTGTCCTGTGAATTTTCCTCAATAAACACATTTTTGCAGAGCAACGTCTCCTAATATAATGCATTTCTGTTATTTTCAGTAATATGCATTATGATGTTCTATACTTCACCCATCTCTTGGCGGGGGAACAGCAGTGTAAAATCCGAATATGGGCAAATTTCAAAGGATGGGTGTGGTTTCTGTATTGTTTCAGAAAGTGCAAAATGGGTCAGTTTGCCTTCAAATGAGGTTGGGGGGTATAATTGGACCAAAGTGGATCTATGCAGATGGCATAGGTTATTTTGGGTTATATTCAAGGACAGGTGACCCTTTAATTCATAATTAAAAGTCCATGACATTGCAGTGACCCATGTGTTGCATTATGGGGGACCTATAAGGGGCACCTGAGGCTGAGGGCAGGCTTAGTCCCCACCACAGAAATATCACCAGTGCGGACATATCTGGAAATATTTCATATTTCAGTGCGGACATATTTCTCTGGAAATATCTCCAGAGAAGCGGACACGGAGCAATGGATCCAAACTACAAGAAAGAAGATTCCACCTCAACATTAGGAAGAACTTCCTGACAGTAAGAGCTGTTCGACAGTGGAATTTGCTGCCAAGGAGTGTGGTGGAGTCTCCTTCTTTGGAGGTCTTTAAGCAGAGGCTTGACAACCATATGTCAGGAGTGCTCTGATGGTATTTCCTGCTTGGCAGGGGGTTGGACTCGATGGCCCTTGTGGTCTCTTCCAACTCTATGATTCTATGATCCTTTAATTTTGTTTCTTATCGCTGTTCAATATTATCTGTCCAAATGAGGACACCCAAGCCCCAGCTTGTATTATCCAGACCTGATGCCTGGCAACAGATCTGCAGGGCACTGAGAAGTGGGGTCTTGTCCTGTGGCCACTGAAAGTCTGGAGAGGCAACAGGAGCACAAAAAAGGATTACCGTTACTAGGAGCCAGGTAAGGCTGAGTGATATATTGATATATCGTCCAAACCCAATTTGAAGTCCATATTGTGATATCAGTTTCATAGTTTTAGATCTGGTAATATATCACGAATCATGAGGTGTGTGTGCTATGCAAAAATCACGATGCTGGAGAAACCGTGAAGACACTCAGTGCCTCTCCAGCGCTCCATCCTGATTTCAGACATTGTCATATCACAATGTATATCACAATGTTTAGCTGTTGAAAGCCCAGGCCAGGTACGCTGAAGGTCAGAGGATGAGGCTGCCTTCTCTGTCTCCTGGGCTCCCCACGTTACCTGTTCTTTACGATCCAATAAGGAATTCCATTCTGAACGCCATAGCCAACTGCCAGCACGGCATGGTTCAGGTTGGTCCCGCAGGGGTAGTCAAAGATTCCTGGATGAAGAAGGAGTTGGGGAAGGGGGAGGGAGACAAGGTGAGAATGAAAGAGAAGATGGGGAGGACATTCCTGGGTTGTCTCTGGGAAAGGCAACTCACATTCTGGGCACTATCCAGCATTGGTCCCATTGAATGAAGGGACACAACCAACTTCAGCCTATTTATTTCCATTTGGTCTGCTCTGAGTAGGACTTAGTTGCAGGTTGCTCCCTGAGCCACTGCCCTTCCACACTTCCTTCAAGGAAAAGCTGAGGGATTTGGCAGCAAATTTAGGATTCCCTCTCTGAGTAAATGAGCTGGCCTGCTCTCCAAGGCCATCCTCTCAGGCACATTGCAGCAGCGACTCAAGTGCTGCTGGGACACTGCCAAGCCCACCCAAGAGTGCCAGAGCTCGCCAAGCTGAGAGGGCAAACGCAGCGACCAGCAGGTGGCCTCCATTAGAAGCAGCCACCGCAGGGGTGCAGCAAGTGAAGTCCGCCTGCTGCCTCCCACGCGACACCTGCAATGAGGTTAGTGGCTGCAGTCCTTGCCTTGCCCTGGACACTGGCAACACATGCTATGCCGCTGCGGGCATCTGCTTCACCACTGTGAGAACAGGATGCTGGACGTATATGGGCCTGATCCAGCAGGCTCTTCTTATATTCTCATGCTCGATCATACCGCCCCCCCTCCTCCACATTCCCTATATTGGTGACTGCTGTGCGTTGAGCGTCACCCAGAGACTGGGCTCATTCTTGCAAGAGTGTTGCAGCCCCTTTACCTGAACCATAAAGGTTGAAGTAGGAAGCATCCACCGCAACAGTAACTGGCACATTGAAGGCCACAGCTTCTTCCAGGGCCCTCTCATCATCTTGAGGGAGATCGACCCACCCTCGGATCCTGACCGCTCGGTCTGAGCTTTGAAATTTACAGTTTCCATCCTGCAAAGTAATAGGAAATTTTCTTTCTCCAAACCTTTATTGGGCATTAAAGATATAGACTATCTTAAAACATCCATATACTAAAAAACGGAAATATATACAAAGAAACAGCCATATAACATCTATAGTAACAGAAATAATGGTAACCAATATTTTGGTTTTCTGTATATGGGAGGGCAGAAACAATTCTTTTTTTATGAAACCAACAATTATTTTTTGGTTTATTGATTTCTTACATACCACCCAGATCTCAGGGTGGTTCACAGAATGACACAGTATTTCCATTTAATAACAGTACAATGCATGGCACATTTAAATGTGACGCAGATGCAGATGAAGTCCCGATGAAGCTTTCTTATTCTTATTCTTCATCCCAATAAACTGCACCATCATGGTCATTGGTGGGGGAAACAAATCTGTTCAAATGGGACTCCCGCCTCTTTGGTTACTATAATGGTTTTTAATGTTTGGTACCAATAATGAAATTACTGGTATTGAAATAATCATAATCATAATCACTAAATGTTTCTTTCTCTCCTTCCCATTGTCCAGAGGAATTCAAAGTCTTATGGACTAAATATTGAGGGAGGAAATAAATATATTTTTTGATGAATAATTATAAGGGCAAAACCACACTGGAGCTGGTGTCTCTCACAGACAAAGGTGAGAAGTTCAGGGCTTGTTTTCTTCAGTCCAAACTTGCCAAAACTCCCTTCTGGCCCCTCTCAGGTGGGCGCCGTGACCATCATAAGAGAACAAGGGAGATGTTCATGGTGAGTTCCGGCTGCAAACATTTCCCATTTGGCCTCGGGTGGTAAAATGAAATGGGAGGCCCCTGTGCGTATGCCCCATGGTTGCAAAATGGCATGTCATGCTCGAATGCTACCTGTCCTGTGTAGGGGTAGACGCGTTCTGAGTTCATCCCGTTGTTCTGCAGGACGTACTGGAAGGCCCGATTCGGCCACCCTCCATTGCAGCCATAGTTCCCCTGCGGCCAAGCACAGTCCACAAGGTTTTGTTCACTCAGCGTGATCAGCCTGCGAGTCTGAATGCAAAGGAGACTTTCCAGGGCTCCGACGGCAGCAAACGCCCAGCACGAGCCACAGCTGCCCTGCGGAAGGGGGAAAACAGTTTGATTTGGTGCTCAGAGGTGGGTCAGGGTCTGCGCCACACTCTCTGCAGCAGACTCACCTCGGGCAATTTGCTCCTCCTCTATATTCCCAGGCCTTCGGCTAAGAAAGTGGGAAAATGAATGAAGCTGGGGCAGGAATCTGACAGATGCTGGGATTCCCCATTTAACTCAGCAGCTGAGCAGATTAGTGGGGTAAGGGAGTTGAAAAAATCACATCTGGCAACCACTGTGCCCCTTTGGTTTTGGATAATTTCACATCTGGCAACCAATGAGCCCTTTTGGTTTCAGATAGTACATGGGTAGATGAGTCTACAAAGCCCAAGACACAAATTTCTACGGCCCTCTAGTGACTATGGAGGTTCATTTATCGGAAGAAATGTATTTAGCATTGATTTTGACCAAACTAAGCCTCCTTTGCAAGGGGGTTGGACTAGACCAGTGGCAGCGAACCTATGGCATGTGTGGCAGAGTGGGCACCCAGAGCCCTCTCTGATGGCGCCATAGCCCCAGCAGGGCCGTTGCTGGGGGTGGGCAAAGGGACAGCCTCTCCCCCGCCACGCCAACGCGGGCAGGAAACTCTCCCTTGAGTGCACCCCACCCGCAGTAGTAGCATCGGGGAGAGCTGTGTGCTGGCCAACCAGTTCCCCCCACCCCACGCCGCAATTTAAAACAGACAGGGCGCTGGGTAAGGAAGCATGGAGACAGTGGGTTGTGATGGTGTGGGTTTGGATTTGGATTTTTTATTTTGGCGGGGAGCGCCAGCTCAGCTAGCCATCGAGTAACAGAAGGGTCTGTCTCTTACCCTTGAGGGCAAACAGGGGGCTCGGGCTGGGCTGCTGTTTCCAAGATGTGGGGCGGGGGGGGCAGCCCACCCTGCGATGCCAGCGAGGGGGACGCTCCGCAGGGCCACCTCGGGATGCTTCTGCCTGGCTTTGGCATCAGCCTGGTTTCCCTGCCTCCCCCCCCCCCCCGGCTGCGGGGAGTGGAGTCTTGTATTGCTGTTCCAATAAAAGTTGTGGCCTAATTCTGCCCATTAACCTCACAGCAGGACGCGGCGAAGCCCAAGGAGCCGCAGTTCTCCTTCCTGCCCACCCAAACCCCAACCCAAGAGAGCCACTCCAGCTTCCCTGGTGAAGGGGTCGCTCGCTCGCCAGACGCGGGTTCCCCAAGTCCCCCGCTTAGTCCTCTCTCTGCCTGTCTGTCTGTCTGTTTCCACTCTGCTTCTCTCTTGTACTCTGATGCCCCAGAGAGAAGCGCCAAAGGGGCCGCAGAGAGAGAGAACCAGACAGACTTCTACACACACACACACGCGCGCACATATCCCGAGAGCGCTCTGCCTAAGAGCCTGCTTCGCAACACACACAAGTGCTGCAGCTGCTGGGTTGCCAGTAACAAAAAAGAACAAAATATAATAATAATAATAATAATAATAATAATAATAATAATAATAATACCCCGCCCATCTGGCTGGGTTTATTTATTTATATTTATTTGTATGTATGTGTGCATGCAGATAATCATTATTAAAAGGTAAAGGTAAAGGTACCCCTGCCTGTACAGGCCAGTCTTGACAGACTCTAGGGTTGTGCGCCCATCTCACTCAAGAGGCCGGGGGCCAGCGCTGTCCGGAGACACTTCCGGGTCACGTGGCCAGCGTGACAAGCTGCATCTGGCGAGCCAGCGCAGCACACGGAAACGCCGTTTACCTTCCCGCTAGTAAGCGGTCCCTATTTATCTACTTGCACCCGGGGGTGCTTTCGAACTGCTAGGTTGGAAGGCGCTGGGACCGAGCAACGGGTGCGCACCCTGCCGTGGGGGTTCGAACCGCCGACCTTTTGATCGGCAAGCCCTAGGCGCTGAGGCTTTTACCCACAGCGCCACCTGCGTCCCAATCATTATTATCCCATATTAAATTGCCGTGTTGGCACTTTGCAATAAATAAGTGGGTTTTGGATTGCAGTTTGGGCACTCGGTCTCTAAAAGATTCGCCGCCACTGGACTAGACCCTCCGGGTCCCTTTTGATTCAGATGGGGGGGGGACCTTCTGACATCGATACCCCCACCTGAGGGATTCTCATCATTGCAGCACACCTTGAGTCCCTGGCCTGGTCCTTCAAGCCTTCCCTCCCACGCAGCCTTCTTCTCACCTGATCCTTCACCGGGGTGACACAACCTGTGTTGCGCCAGTCCACGAATTCAGGGAGCGCCAGAGTGCCAGATTTTTCGTGCACGGTTGTGCCGCCCCCCTGCTGCCTGGGCAGGTCAGGGCGGAGCCCATTCAGCTTCTCCTTAAATTCTTCTTTTGTCTGGGGAGCAGAGGAGAGTCGTCCATGTCAATCTCGCCAGAAGTAGCTGTGCACCCCCCCCCCCGGTAAACCAGGCTTCGCAGGAGCAGGGAGGTCCCTTTCCAGTTTGCTTCAGGCGGTGAAGTGGGCTGGGCTGCCCCAACCTCCAAGGCTGCCTGTTGCAACTCCAGAGTCAACAACCAGTTTAGACATCCTAAAAATAATCCGTGAATATTCACTAGGAACTGCAAGGGGGACGCAGAGATCTAAACAGGGACTATTATATGCAGCACAGAATCTCCTAGTTATGTGTTTTCATCTAGCTTAAACCTAGACAGCCCTAGTAGTATGTAACGTGTGCTTTATTTTTCTGTTTTGTGTTCTAGTTTTCAATTTGTCATGGCCTTTGGCTAGCATAACAATAAAGCTATTTATTTATTTTAATAATAATAATAATAACAACAACAACAACAACAACAACAACAACAACAACAACTAGTGGAGTCTTACCCAAACCTGGAAACGTACATGATTTTCATTGTAATTGCTGTTAATGTCTTATGTTATAAAATACAAATTTGGTTTAAGGGTGCTTTTCATGTTATTTGTCCCAGGCTCCAAAATACCTAGTTTTGGACCTCAGCGTAGGAGCTACAAGAGGAGGACTGAGCAGAATTATAAGCTCGTCTATTGGGCTGAGAGAGGATTGACGAGCCGCAAAATCCATGATACAAGCCAGACTCCGAGTTTGCTTACCAAATCGCTGAACTGGTTCAACGCCATCTGAAAGGTGTGTTTCCCCTGGGCAGCTTCGCGGTTGTGCTCTTCGATGGTATGGAGATTGTCCTCCCAGACGGTTCTCCGGAAGTCTTCTGCATTCCTCTGCAGGGAAGCCTCTTGGTTAAGAACGAACGGACAGAGCCCAAGATCATTCTTGCCTCGAAAAATTAGAAGGCCTTGAGGCCAAAAGAGCTCAGCTCATACTCTCTGACATTTTCTCAATGAAAATAGGCACATCCTATTCCGTACCCTCCAACGTTTCTCTGATTAAAATAAGGACGTTCTAAAGAAAAGCGGGACATTCCAGGATCAAATCAGAAACCAGGATGGCTTCTGTAAATCCAGGACTGTCCCTGGAAAATAGGGACACTTGGAGGGTCTGCCAGTTGCAGGAAAATGGTTCCAGATCAGAATTTAGCTGCACCAGGATGCACCAATTTCTTACCAGTCGACGAGGAATGTGCGTCTTGGAGTTAGAAGGCAGAGGGATTGTTTTCATGCCCTGCCTATGTTTTTGCTGCTATTGCTGGACAAAGGCTGAATCCTTTACACACTACCCATGCTCAGAAGCACATGGTTCAAAGTGCAAGATTTTCTGAGACACAAGCATGGTGTTCATTCTAGTTAAGTTGGAGCAAACTCACCTCACGGTATATTTTATTATGGGTCCTCTTCCAGTCACTCCAGGCTTCATCCAGAGCTGGGTCCCTGGCCAAGGTGAACGTCTTCAGCAAGACCAGGCCGGTCAATGCCACCAAAGAGATCAGATGCATATCTGCACAGGAGACAATCTAAACCTCTAAGATAATTTCATGTATGTTTTCTCTCAAGCGAGTATTTTCTCTAAAAAAAAGTTTCAAAATGCACACATCTTCCCAAATATATACACCTGCTAAACATACACATTTAGTACACATTTTTCTAAAATACATGTTAATTTCATTCCATTTTTGCATTCAGCTTTATGTGTGATGGTGGTGATGGGAGCAGAGATTGGATGGATGCTTTAGCTGAGATTCCTGCATTGCAAGGGGGTTGGACTAGATGACCCTTGGGTCCCTTCCAACAACAGTTGCTCTGTCTCAGTAATTTCACCGCTCTCAAAGGACCGCAAAATGTGTGTTCCTGGGCAACTGAAACCTAGTTGTGTTGGATCAAATGCAATTCTGCAGCCAAGTAATGTGTGAAATTCATACACCGGGATAAAGTCTGCATTAAAAATGTGTATACTGGAGAAAATAGCGAAATTGCTGTGCAAGAATGTGCACTAAAATGATAAATTTTCCAGAGGATTAAAAAAAATTGCAAAGTGATGTGGAGAACTGTATTCAAGACTAGGGAAATAAGTAACTGAGAGGAACTGAAATTTTCAGGTTTGATTATCCTTAGTGACTCATGAAATTTGTTAGATGAAGTTTAGGGAAATTTTTAATGTTTGATGTTTTATCATGTTTTTAACTTTCTGTTGGGAGCTGCCCAGTGTGGCTGGGGAAAATAAATAATAAATAATTATCATATTATTATTAAATGCTGTTTCTGAATATCAAACATTTGCTGAATGCAGGTAATATCCAGCATGAACATTCACAGCAATGGTGCTTTGAGGGGCGGGAAATCATTTTAATTTAAATCTCTCCGAACATGCCCTGTCTACTCTTTATAAATAATCTCCAATCTGGCTTCCAACAAACCTTACCTTTCCCTCAAGTGGAAATATTCAGAGAACAGGATCTTGGATGTCTGTCCACCCCGTCTGTCTGGGCAGAATAAGTTCCAGTCCCCTTTTTATAAAGAGTGTGCGTATCTAATTTCCTCTCCCACCTTAAGTTCCTAGAAACAATTTGTCAAAACTTAACAGAGCAATAGTGACATTTCATGGTCAAAGGAAGAGGTGTGGTACCTTCCTTCTGATCAATTTGGTGGGAAAAGCCGCACATGGGCGTTCCAGATTCAGCTTTCAAAAACCTCACCTTATCACAAATTTAGGGAACCTTGTTACAGTTTCAGAAACGTAATGTCCAAAGGAAGATGGGCACAGCTTTTCCCTGTACCCACTCTTTGTATAACTTTTGTTTGGTTTCATACACGCATAAAGTAATACATTCACATCCAACCACACACACACACACACCCGCACTCACCAGACCATAATTGAGTACAAAAATGACCTAGAGATGTAACGTTAGACTTTTTTGCCTCTTTTCATTTGACAAATGTTCTGTGACATTGGGGAGGTGGTAATTCTGTATTGATTTACTATGGATGTTTGTATGTGATGCCAATAAAAGGTTTGATGATGATGATGAGTACAAAAAATATGGAGAGGTTTTGGAATATTTATAGAGTCTTTGGAAGGGGTGTTTGGGGTGCTGGGAGGGGCAGTACCTCTAGTGGGGGACTCATCCTGCTCCTTCTAGGACAGTTTGTCCACCTTTGGTCCCCACCCTGTGCTCAACTCTCACCTGTGTGAAGCTGTCAGCAGGTGAAAGTGGCCACAATCCTGGGAACAGCTTTAGCTGGTTGGCTAAACCAGGTGAGGGGAGCCGATGCGTCTCAAAGCCTTGGTGAGTTAGGGACATCCCTGCATGCGAAGACAAAGTGGATGAGGCCAAGAGGGGGTCCAACGGCCAAGCAGGCGGTTTCTACCTGTGCTGCAGGGGGAAGTGAGGGGCAGGTGGAGCTTGTCCACCTGGGAAGGGACCCCCTCTAGGAGAAGGACCCTAAACCTCCACTCCCAGCTTCAGGAGAAGAAAGGGCGCAGGAGGAAACCCTACACAAATCTGGAGTGGAGTCCCTAAGGCGGCTGGGGTGGCACCTTGTACGCCTCCTTCCAGCAACTCCTGCTGCCAAGCAAGTGCCCAGCGCCTTGTTCTGCTTTCCTTTGGTCCCCATCCGCTAGGCCAAGAGGGGGGTCTTCATTGCTGTCATCTTCACTGCTGGATTCCTAGCGTGGCAGAGCTAGTGGATCACCACTCTTTATATGCTTGTGGACACTCTCAACAAACTACCGTATTTTTCGCACGATTGGACGCACCGGACCATAGGACGCACCTAGTTTTTTGGGGGGGAAATAAAGGAAAAAATTTCCCCCTTTATTTCCCCCCCCCAAAAGCAGGTCAGGGAAACCGAACCAGGTCGAGGAACAGCGGGATAGTGGCGCTGCGCCTCCCTGCTGTCCCCCAAGCTTGTGGGGCTGGCCGATGTCTGTCCGGCGGGCGGGGAGCTCTGCTTCAGGGCGCCCCACCCACCAGGCAGCAGGCTGCTATCCGCAGCGTGGTGAGCCCTGTGGGGAACTCCTGCAAGGCTCCCCACTCTGCGGATGTCTGCCTGGCGCGAGGGGCGCTCTGCTTCAGGGCGCCCCACCCGCCAGGCAGCATGCTGCTATCCGCAGCGTGGGGAGCCTTGTGGGAACTCCTGCAAGGCTCCCCACTCTGCGGATGTATGCCTGGCGCGAGGGGCGCTCTGCTTCAGGGCGCCCCACCCGCCAGGCAGCAGGCTGCTATCCGCAGCGTGGGGAGCCCTGTGGGGAATTCCTGCAAGGCTCCCCATGCTGCGGATGTGTTCCCGAAGCGCCTGGAGCTCTGCTTTCAGGGCGCCCGGCGCTCCGGGAAGCAAGCTGAGCGGAGCGCTAATCCCGAAGCCCCAAGCTTCGGGATTAGCGCGGCGCTTCGCTAGCCCTGGGAGAGCCACGCAACGTCGCGCGGCTCTCCCAGGGCTAGCGAGACCTTGCCGGCACCCAGAAGCTTGGGGCGCGCTGAGCTCCGCGCGCCCCAAGCTTCGGGATTAATGCAGCGCTCCGCTAGCCGCGGCTAGCGGATAGCTTCCTGAAGCCTGGAGAGCGAGAGGGGTCGGTGCGCACCGACCCCTCTCACTCTCCAGGCTTCAGCGAAAGCCTGCATTCGCTCCATAGGACGCACACACATTTTCCCTTGCTTTTTAGGAGGGAAAAAGTGCGTCCTATGGTGCGAAAAATACGGTAAAAAAAGTTGTGCAATGGGATTTGTCCTTGCAGAAGTTTATTGTCATTTTCACTTTTTGAAACTCTTAAATAATGGTACAGTGGTACCTTGGGCTACATATGCTTCAGGTTACAGACTCCGCTAACCCAGAAATAGTACCTCGGGTTAAGAACTTTGCTTCAGGATGAGAACAGAAATTGTGCAGCAGCAGCGTGGTAGCAGCGGGAGGCCCCATTAGCTAAAGTGGTGCTTCAGGTTATGAACAGTTTCAGGTTAAGAACGGACCTCCGGAACGAATTAAGTAGTTAACCTGAGGTACCACTGTAGTTTTAAAGTTTTATCCCTTTTTCTAAACCGTTCCAAGGTTTTCCCACAATCAGAGGGTGTGTGGGTTTCGTGAAATAATTAAATAAATCATCCTGGTTGCATTTCAGTGGTGCAACTTTATTTTATTTTGCTATATATATTTTTTATTGTATCCATAAGCAGAACATTAACATAGCAACAAGGAAAGTACAGCAATGTGTTTGTCATGCAGGGCTGGATGGATGAGAGCCGTCACTTCACTTCCACACCAAAAGAACCTTGGAGCTGTGCCATTTAGCCCAGCATGTCCTTGGCTGCTTTTGTTAAAATACTCTACAAATAGAAGCCACGTATCAATAAAATTATCACACTGCATCACTTCCTTGGAAAGCTCACCGTGATGCTTCAGCTGCTCTGATAACATTAATTCCCACACTCTTGGCTAGGGAATAAATCCTGTTCATAATTTCAAGTGACCAGCCACTTATGGTACATTTGAGCCTTCATTAATAAAGGCCCAGCTATTTTTACAACTTAGATACCCCATTGTATCATAGAGTTTTTATGCTAGCCCATTTAAATGCACCTCCTCTTTGTGTCCGGATGTAGCCATTTTCGCCCCAGTAAGGTCCCCAACTGTGGAAGGAAGGGAGAGGATCTCTTTAAGATGTTGCTTCAAGGGTGGGGGGGTGGCAGGAGAGTGTGATGAGTCTAAGTGTAGCCAGAGGAAGTGCTGCAGCTTTGCGTTCGTTGCCAGCATCTCCCGGTAGGACCGGGATACATCACCCGCCTGATAGCCCAACCTTTTCTGGCCCCACTGATTCCCACGTTACCTGTTCTTTATGATCCAGTACGGAGTCCCGTTCTCAGACCCATAGCCAAGGGCCAGCATGGCATGGTTCATTTCCACCCCGACCTGAACCAGCAGTTGGTACTTCTGGGAGGCTGGGGGAGAAGCTTGTCATCATTGCTCTCCTAGACACTTCTCTCCTCTGGAGTAAGGATATGGGAGCCAGCTGTGTGTCATGCAGCCCTCCCCCCTGAACTGTGATGGTGGTGATGATGAATAACATTTGTACACTGCCTTATACCCACAGGACTCAGGGTGGCTCGCAGCAGAAAAATACATGATAAACAAACCACAAAGTTCATAATAAAAACAATGAAAAGGATAAACCAAGAACTCTGGCCACAAGTTTCAATATAAGGAATAATTCCTACTCGAGAGTTGAAAAGAAAAACGTGTATATTCTGCTAAGAATAACAGTTTGAGGCTAATAGTAAATTTAAACACAACGTATAAGTACGATAGTTTTAAGGTAATAGTAAATTTAGATACAACGTTTAAGTGCAAAAATAATGTAGTTTCAAATATGCAGTGATATAGTATAAAGGTACATAAAATACCAGTACACAACAATTGTTTTATACAAGTCTCAATGGCAGTCAAAAAGAGTCCATATTATATATCAAATAGGGCCAAAAAGGAGTATCCGGAGTGTGAATCAGATGACGACTCAGTAATGGTGACCAGGACAGGGCCCTGTTTCGGAGTAAACACCTTCTTCAGCTGGTAATATCAAATAATATGTCAAAATAAATCAAGGTTCTTCAATACCATAGATCATAAATGACACAAAAACACAGAAGATGGAAAGAGGGCATTTCTTCTGAACCTGGAACCATGGCAGGTAACAACGGTTTCCCACCAGATCCATCCTATTTCCGCTTGCTCCTGATTTTCTCCCTGCAGAGTTTCAGAAATCCAAGTCAACAGACCCAAGTTAGTGTGAACATCTCTTGCTGGATTGTCTTGGTCCTGCCCCTCACCCTCACAAGATGTTTTCTAAACTGTATTGTTTACATCTTCAAACATTCTCATGGGCCTGATGGTGCCTTTCCATTATGTGGCACTTGGAGAACAGAGGATGCTATTAGTTCATGGATGGAGCTAGAGCAGCGGTTCTCAACCTGTGGGTCCCCAGATGTTGTTGGACTACAACTCCCATCATCCCTGACCACTGGTCATGCTGGCTCGGAATGATGGGAGTTGTAGTCTAACAACATCTGGGGACCCACAGGTTGAGAAACACTGAGCTAGAGAGAGATTGTGCATTTCTGTATCACCAAGACTGGGTTTTAGCTGCTAGATCTCTAAACTTTGTTTTCTACATCTGCAAGCATTGGGGTTCTCCAGGGCCTGATGCCGTTATGTGTCATGTGGAGAATGGAGGATGCAATTAGTTCATGGATGGAGCTAGAAATGATTATGTCCTTTCCTTTACTCTATCTCTGAGATGCAGGGGGAAATGGAACTCCCATTAGCTGGAACGTTTCGATCCAGTCCATGGCCCCTTGCCAACCCACCCCTACCAACAATGTTTCATTCCAGATCCATTCTTCTTTGAGGAACATCCGCTTCAACAACAGCACTGGGGATGAAATCTCCTTTGGGGAACATGGGATGGAGTCTGCCGGGTTCGATATCATCAACTGGGCCATCTTCTCGAACAAATCTATGGCATAGAGGAACGTGGGGTGGATGGACCCTGGGGCTGCTGCAGGAGCAGATTTTGAGATGGGCCCATAAGTCATTGTATGGGCTAACCAGGTGGGGACCAAACTGGGTGGAAACAGAGCGGTAGCCACTGGAGCTGCTGTAGCAAGGAAGTCCTCTGCTCACTATAACCAACCGCCATCCATTAACCCAACTAGGCTTTGGGAAGGAGGAGGAAGAACTCCAGAACCCTGTCCAAGCCCCCACACCTATTTTCTGAAGCCAGAATTTACAGGCTTTGAGAAGGAGGTGGGAAGGTGCCCTCTCAGCTCAGAACCCGGTGTGGGGGAACTGGTCACACTGGCCTAACTGCTGGGCCCAGGGGGAACCTGAATAACACGGTCCAGGTCCAGTCCCAAATCCAAGGGTTCTGTGAGGAGTCAGTCCGACAGGGCCAAGGCAGGACATGAGGCAGGAAACCAGGCAAGGTCAGGCACAGGATCTCAGGCAGGTTCTGGCAAACAGCAACGTTGCTCCTGCAACCTGGGGCAGGGTCCAGCAGCCTTTTATCTCTGTCGGAGTAATGGCCGGTCCTGATCCCCCGGCGACACACCTCCCTGTCTCGCCCGAAGGCAAGCACTCCTCCTGCGAGTACCCAGGTCTCTCCTTCTCTCAGACCTCAGTCTCTGCAGCCCGGGAGACCGCCTCAGCCTCCCCTGACCCAACCGGTAGTGGAGCAGCTGTAAGTGATGGCCCAGCTGAGGGCAACGAGGTCATCCCCGCATCTGGAGCCAGGGCAGGCTCAGGCCCCTGAGTCGGCCCAGCTGGTGCTTGTTGCAGGGGAACCTGTGCAGACCGGGGCTCTTCAGAATCAAGCCCCAGACTAGGTTCAGACACCGCCTGAGGCAAAGGATCCAGTGCAGACTGAGATTCCTCTGGCTCTGAGTCCGAGCCCGAGTCCCAGGCCATCACACTAACTCCACGTCTGCTTCTATCACACAGAACCATGAACATTTCACTCATGGCCAACTGCCTTCCTTTGCAGATACATCCATTCTCTCGGTGTGTTAAGTGCTGCCTGCCTGGGGGAGTTAGGAAACTCAAGGATGAGAAGCCCGTCTGCTGCTATGAGTGCATTCCTTGTCCTGAAGGGACCATTTCTAACCAAAGAGGTACATCAAGGCAGAAGACTCAAGCACCTGTAGCAGAATGGCAGGCCTGGGGTGGAGGGCCTGAGACCCTGGCTCCCTTCAACCTCAGCTGGCAGGGTCAGTGGTCAGGGATGATTAGAGCCCAGATTAGCTGAATTTATCCAGCTAATTGTATTTATATAGTTGACTACAAATCCTCTATCCTGCTGTATTTTAATAAATATAACGTTTCCCACCACTTATGGTTTCATGAGTCTTTTATAAGGGTGTCCTGGGGAATATTCAGATATGAGGTCAGTATTGAAACTAGACTGTTGCATCTCTACCCTAAAAGGAACTGATACCTAAACATTTTTTAGAACCACTGGCAGTCATCTTTGAGAATTCCTGGAGAACAGGCGAAGTCCCGGCAGACTGGAGGAGGGCAAATGTTGTCCCTATTTTCAAAAAGGGGAAAAGAGAGGACCCAAATAATTACCGCCCAGTCAGTCTGACATCAATACCAGGGAAGATTCTGGAGCAGATCATTAAGCAAACAGTCTGTGAGCACCTAGAAAGGAATGCTGTGATCACCAATAGTCAGCATGGATTTCTGAAAAATAAGTCATGTCAGACTAACCTGATCTCGTTTTTTGACAGAATTACAAGCCTGGTAGATGAAGGGAACGCAGTGGATGTAGCCTACCTTGATTTCAGCAAGGCATTCGACAAGGTGCCCCATGATATTCTTGTAAAGAAGCTGGTAAAATGCGGTCTTGACTATGCTGCCACTCAGTGGATTTGTAACTGGCTGACTGACCGAACCCAAAGGGTGCTCATCAATGGTTCCTCTTCATCCTGGAGAAGAGTGACTAGTGGGGTGCCACAGGGTTCTGTCTTGGGCCCGGTCTTATTCAACATCTTTATCAACGACTTGGATGATGGACTCAAGGGCATCCTGATCAAATTTGCAGATGACACCAAACTGGGAGGGGTGGCTAACACCCCAGAGGACAGGATCACACTTCAAAACGACCTTGACAGATTAGAGAACTGGGCCAAAACAAACAAGATGAACTTTAACAGGGAGAAATGTAAAGTATTGCACTTGGGCAAAAAAAATGAGAGGCACAAATACAAGATGGGGGACACCTGGCTTGAGAGCAGTACATGTGAAAAGGATCTAGGAGTCTTGGTTGACCACAAACTTGACATGAGCCAACAGTGTGACGCGGCAGCTAAAAAAGCCAATGCAATTCTGGGCCTCATCAATAGGAGTATAGCATCTAGATCAAGGGAAGTAATAGTGCCACTGTATTCTGCTCTGGTCAGACCTCACCTGGAGTGCTGTGTCCAGTTCTGGGCACCACAGTTCAAGAAGGACACTGACAAACTGGAACGTGTCCAGAGGAGGGCAACCAAAATGGTCAAAGGCCTGGAAACGATGTCTTATGAGGAACGGCTAAGGGAGCTGGGCATGTTTAGCCTGGAGAAGAGGAGGTTAAGGGGTGATATGATAGCCATGTTCAAATATATAAAAGGATGTCATATAGAGGAGGGAGAAAGGTGGTTTTCTGCTGCTCCAGAGAAGCGGACACGGAGCAATGGATCAAAACTACAAGAAAGAAGATTCCACCTAAACATTAGGAAGAACTTTCTGACAGTAAGAGCTGTTCAACAGTGGAATTTGCTGCCAAGGAGTGTGGTGGAGTCTCCTTCTTTGGAGGTCTTTAAGCAGAGGCTTGACAACCATATGTCAGGAGTGCTCTGGTGGTGTTTCCTGCTTGGCAGGGGGTTGGACTCGATGGCCCTTGTGGTCTCTTCCAACCCTATGATTCTATGATTCTATTTCCTGTCCATTCCAGATGCCGTCCGCTGCACGAAGTGCCCAGACGATCAACACCCAAACCAGTCTAGTATCCCCAAGAACGTCAACTTCCTTTCTTATGAAGATAATCTCGGCTTTGCTTTAGCTTCTCTCTTTTTTTTATTTATTTATACCCCGCCCATCTGGCTGAGTTTCCCCAGCCACTCTGGGCGGCTCCCAATCAAGTGTTAAAAACAGTACAGCGTTACATATTAAAAACTTCCCTGAACAGGGCTGCCTTAAGATGTCTTCTGAATGTCAATTAATTGTTTATCTCTTTGACATCTGATGGGAGGGCGTTCCACAGGGCGGGCGCCACTACCGAGAAGGCCCTCTGTCTGGTTCCCTGTAGCCTCACTTCTCGCAATGAGGGAACCGCCAGAAGGCCCTCAGCGCTGGACCTCAGTGTC